AATTTTTTGTCTGCCCCCCACAGCAAGGCTTATTTGGTCTACACGTAGTGAAATCCTCCAGACTCCTGCCAAAGCCCACCTATTTGCAAAAAGGTACCTAGTCACTGGGAACTGGGGAGTCAGGGACAGAAAGACATGACGCCAACCACATCACTCCTTTGCATGCCGCTCGCTATAGAATCCATGGCTTATTAACCACCCTAGCCTAATGAGCCACTTATGGCTCATCAACTTTTTTGGCTTCCTCAACAACACAGACTCAGTGTGATTTACTACTGAATCCTCTATTTTAATCAGAGCTGGGAGAATACTGCAAAGAAGCATGCATGAACACCCCATGATCCTTCACTGAGAGATATTTGCTGCCCATCTCTTTACAAAACAATACTCCTTCTGCTCAGGGAGGCAGAATCAGCACCCTGCAACTTAGCTCACCCATTATACACTGTGAACGGTCAAAGGGAAACAAGCCAAGCCTTTGCACAGGGCTATGGAAGCATCCCCATTAACAGACATATTTGGAGAAATCCAGGGGTAGGAGACTAACCAGCCACATTCTCACACCTGGGACTCCCCCCTCCAATGCCTTATACCTTGCACAAGGTAGGTGCAAAGTGTTATCACATCACAACTGTCACTTTGCATTGGGGTAAATACACAAGATGCAAACCAGGATGATGAAGCCATTATTGGCAATAATTCAAGCCGGTCTCATTTTAAAGGCCAATGATGAGTGATGGTGCTTAATGTCCAAGTTCAGAGGGCCTTCACAAGGGGCTACGTTATTCATTATTTAAATGAGACCAGTGCCTAGAGACTGATGAGAGCCTTATGGCAGCGAGTACTGTATGCACATGCAACCAACTGGCAATCCCTGTCCCAAGGAGCTTGCAGACTAACTAAACCCTTCAGGCCAAAACTTATTCCACCTATTAGGTACACAGGTAGACTTACGTGCCTAAGTGTGATTGTATTCCACCCTGTATGAGTAATGCAAAGGGTACCCGAGTCACCTTCCTCCTTCTTGCTTTTTTGTGACTTATTCTTAAGACTAAGGTGACAGCGTGCCACGCAAGTAGATATATTAATAAGTTGGAATAGAATTGCACTTAGGCATCTAAGTCCACTTTGGTGCCTAAACAGGTGGAATAAAATCAGGTCCTTCTTGTGCAGATACAAATCTTCCAATTTCACTTTAGTCTTGAAGACTTGTACTAAAAGACAAAGCTTTTTCCTTTCTGGCTCCTAGGAATTGTAAGCTTTGTCCAGCTTAGAGGCCACATAGTAGCTCAAGTTAATTGACCTCCAATTTGCCCGTGTGAATTGAGTCCTTTTCCAAAGTTGTGCGCCAGAGTAACTGAGGGCACAAAGTCACATCTGTTTTCAAGCTGATTACATGAAACAAGTGGACACCACAGGGCAAACCCTTCTGCTTCTATTTAAGAGGGACTTATTTCAGCTTAGGTCAAATGTGTTCTTAACTGATTTAAACAATATCCAAATCACCCTCCTTAAGATGGTAATAAGTGCAGCCACTCAGCCTTTTTCACCAGCTTAACCAACTCATGTTAAACTTCCACCTCAGTAGGACCTAACATGACTGTCAGTGCAAATGCTGGTCCTCTGCAAATATTTATTCTTGGCTAGGGATCACCACAAGGCTCAAAAGAAAATGACACAGAGATAGGAACAGGTCTGAAGGTCGCAATCAGCCCTCTAGTGAACCGTGCCCAGGAAGGAGTGTCTGTGGTGTGGCTAAGTTAGTATTTACAACTGAGTTTGCTGGAAACTGCCTAGCTTGGGTTCCACCAGGATAAAGCCTCTCTGGTGGAGACAAGGCTTTAGAGCATGGCTAATACTCATACAAAACATTTTTCTTTTTTTTTCCCCTTTAATTCTGCTCACGAAGAATTCAGCTTGGCGGTTTTCCTGCATTCCTCTGCCCTCGTTCTTTAGCACTGGGACCACTGGCATGAACACAGGATTTCTTCTCACAAACAGCTTCTCTTCACCCCCGCTGAGCACTCCAGCTATGAGGTTATCACCCTCTGTGTTGTCACACAAAGGGGAACGTAGAAGTCCCTCAGCTGTCCCAACCAGAGGATTATGGCTCCCAGTTGGTAAGTTGTAGCAGAAACAGAGGAGCTCTTAGGAAACAAGGCGTTCTAAGCCAAAACCCGCCCCCAGCTACACCCAAGCAGTCTCACTCTGGGCAGGTTCTGGCCCCATATTCGTATGGATTTCCTTAGTGGTATAAAAAAAAAGAATGGAAAAAACTACAGGAACTCTCCAGGGCTAAATTCCACTCTGAAGCAATCGTAGCAGAGGCAGCTGAGTGACACCAGGGTGGGACTTGAGCAGGATTGTTTCTAAATAAATGCCATGACCTAGGTCTTCTGTGTGGTGCCAGCACCACCCCCAAGGGGGAAATGCCACCATCCTGACCCAAGGAGTAGTAGCTAGGACCTTCACTGCAGTAAGAGCTACTCACAAAGCAGCCATTTCTCCATGTGAAGATGGCCCTTGGAGTTCAGTAGGACGCTCCCTCAAAAAAACAAGTCTATTTTCCTGTTTGCTTGCAGGCCAGGTGTGACTGAGACCCTTCTGGTAAGGTAGTGAGACAAGTTAAACCGGACCCACCCACAAGCCACAGCCTGTCTGTGTGTGTCACACCTGACTTCCTCCCCACAGTGGTATGGTAGGACACCACCTGACTGCATGCCTGTTGCCTAAACCTTTCCATCGCAAAATATTTGCCCTGGAGAGAAATCAGAGCTGGATTCTCTTGCCTACCTCCTCCCCTGGGAGGTCAATAGCAGGCTGGGGAGGAGGGAGAACAACCCCACAGAAAGACAGAGTCTCTTGGGTGCATATTACTTGGGGAAAACAGCCGTTTTCACCTGGGCAAGGGAAGCATGTCTGTAGCACCTCAAACCTGGCCATCCTGGCTCTCCTTCTCTACACCACAGGAGCTTCCCCTGCCACCTCCCCTCCTCAAAACATTCAAATGTTTCATGTTCATTAGGCGAACGTGACCAGAGGAAGGAGCCTGGGGCAAATAGCCTGGATTCTGTGATTAAGAGATGGCTTTTCTCCAAGACTCACCTTTCCACTGCTGGGCAAACCCATTCGCAAGTAGCAGGTTCCAAGATGCACTCACTCTCTCACTGTATTTGGTGAGTACAGGGTCCACTCGGGACCCTGCTGCTCCAGCAAGCCCCATGCTCTGCTGCTGCCATGAGCACCTCATTAGTAAACCATGGTGCTCTGATTGGTGTTTCATTCCCCAGCTGTGACGAAACAAGGTGTCTCCAGCTCCCTGGCCCAAAAGGCCATCTGGGCTCTGCACTGATGACTGACTTTCCAGAATGGACTCTAAAGGCTCTGGCTCTCTGAAGAGGGCTGTGGTGGTCTCCAAGGAGAGGTAGGCAAAGCACCAAGGCCTTCCTGGAAGACATGTGGCCACATCCAAGGCATGCTGAGAGCAACGTAAATATGAGCTGGCTTCCTTCAGAGGGTGACAATGACTGTCCCTGTCTACCCAAGGTACCCTTCTTGCCTCAGGCCATGCATTGGAGCAGAGGGAAAGGAGTCCTGAGATCCTGCCTCAGAAACCAAGCCAAGTATATAGTGTCACATCATCCTTCAACTCTGCACAGGCAGGGAAAACAGGTTTTGCCTACCACTGGATTTCATGCTTGTCCTTGAACCATGAGGAGGAGCATAATTAACTGATGTCTCATTATCTTCTGGAAGGCAGTTATGCCTGGTCAGGGTTATATGGTAATTCCTATCAGTGCTCACTCAAGAAAGTCCCTGGCAGAGCTACGTTTCTGAGCAAAACACCGATCACATAGCTCCCAAAATGCAGTGGGCTTCCCCTTCTCAGTTTGGGTGGGAGGGAAGGAAATTAGGCCCACGTTGGATTCCTCGCTCCACAGTGGGATAAACATCAGGCTGTAATGTGGTATGGCAGAAACTGTAGCAAGGGCACTAGGCAGGCACACTTCTGGCTGACTGGCAAGGAGGATTTTGGCCTTCTTCCTGGCCCCAGAGATTCTAGCCAGCCTCTTCAGTGGCTGTGCAGTCCAAGAGGCCAAACACAAGGCTGGGGAAAGCAGCACCCAAGTTCTGCTGCTAATTTACCATGCAGTCCTGGGGAAATCACTGAGGCCCAAATTCCCTAAAGTGGCCTCTAATTCTGTGGGTCCCATTTGAGACTGCTTGGGCCTTGCTTTCAACCTAATCTCATACAAGTCAGCAGGGACCTGGGAGACTCAGCACCTCTGAAAAGCAGGAGCTAGAACCCAAAGACTTAAGACACCTAAAATGAGGGGTCCCTTTGGAAACCTTGGCCTGGGCAGGGCAGCAAAATGGCTAAGGTGTCCTGATGTGGTTCCAGGGGCATGAATTCAAAGACTCACTCTGGACTCAGGCTGAAGGCTGCCTCTAGTCAACTCAGTTGTGAATGCGCCCCTGGTCATTTAAGCTAAGAGGTAGTAAAAAGTGCTGCTAACTATACAATTCCCTTGGGGACCACTGGCTATAGAGACTGGTGTGTCTTACCTGTGCCAGCCTAATGGGTCATTAGGCCTGAACAAACCTTGACTTTGAAGCCTTGGGCCATAATTTCTAGGGTCTCAGGCTCTCCAGCTATAAAATTAGAGCCATGACATATACTGGTGCTGCAGGGAAGCTGGGAGAATGGACTAATGTGTGCATAGCACTTTGAAAGGCACAGCACCCCAGAAGGACTAAGAACTGAAGATCCTCTACAGCAGCCCTTCCATCATCACACAAACTTCTGTCTTCAGAATCCACCCCTGACTCCCACCTCCTGCTCTGCAAGGCCAGAAAACAAATCTGCTCCAACTTTAGGAGAAGGCAACCTCCAAACAACGCAAGTGTTGTCAGTGCCTTGGGTAGCTGCTTGGCTGGACAAGTTTTGCTACATTATTACACAGCAACCTTTGAGAAAGCCACATCTCAGCATGGCTTACCTTTTTGGAGGTGAATAATGTCCGGAAAGTTGGAAAGTAGCCCCTGGTATAAGGAGAGAGTGTCCAGCATGAGGAAAAGGTCATTCTTGGGCTGCTCAGCAAACATCTCCCCTACAGTCTCGTATGTCTTGCCTGTGTGGGAGATGGCATTGTTGAGGGCATCCGAGCTATAGGGTGGGTCCATCTGGAAGGAGTGGCTGATGGCTTGGAAAGCGTTGCCCAGCTTCTGGAATTCCTTCCTGAAGCCTCCCAAATGCTTGCGGACCAGCTCGGAGGCCACATTGGTCAGCTGCAGGACACTGTCATCCATTTTCTTGCTGAAGGCCTTGAACGAGTCCACACGGTCCTCAACATCCTGCAGGTCCTGGTGCTCCGTGGGGATCTGAAGAGTCAGCAGGAAGCTGGCCCCGACCATCTCATCCTTCTCCGCCCGCCGCTTCCCCAGCTTCCATTGCTTGTCATCACGGCAGGTGAGGAAGTGCTGGAAGCCCTCATACTGGGAGAGGACTGGGTGGCTGGTCATGTGGTCCATCCACAAGATCAGCCTCCGCTTGCGCTTCTCAATGAAGTCCTCCTCAAAGCGCCCGGTGGCCTGCTTCTCTGGCAAGTGGGGCACCGAGATCACCGTGAACTTGTGCAGTAGGCGGTTGTACAGCCAGTCAAAGTGCTTGTACCGCCGGTAGACTGGGGAGGTGATGTTGCTGGGAGTCAGCTTATAGGAGATGTAGCTCTTGATGCCCTTGAATTTGGTCTGCTTGGTTGGGTCCTCCACAGAGCAGATGAAAGGGTGTGGATTGGCCCTCCATTGGGGGCCCTTGGACCCCATCTCAATATAATAAGCCTCAGCAATCTTGGACATAAGGGGCACATCCCCCAGGATAAAGGCCTCCACCCCCGAGCGGACAAAACAAGAGAAGCGGTTGAGGTTCCGCCCTACCACGCTGCCCCTCTTGGAGGAGCTTATGCTGTCCTGTCTCTCTAGAGCAGGCTTGGGTCGATAGCCAGCATTCTGGCTGGGGTACACCGCAGGGTACTGCAGGTGAGGGGAGGGATGCCCGTTGGTGCCAGGGCCACTTCTGGGCTCCTCCACCACCGTGCAGCCATCGTCCCAGTCATCCCAATCATCGTCGTCGTCGTCCTCAAAGCTGCCCTGGTTGGAGATGCTGGCGTTGGGACGATGCATGTAGAAGGAGGAGTCATGTCCAGGAGAGCCAGCTGGGCTGTTTGAATAGTCTGTATAACTGGAGCTCGACCTGGACCGCAGGATCTCCACGTAAGAGGCAGGAAAGAGGCCAGTCTCCCCTCGGCTGTTCTTGCCCTGCAGCCACCCGTCCAGGGAGTTTTCACTGAAGATCACCAGCTCCTCGTTCTCTTGGATGCTGATCTCCTCTTTGTTTTCACTCTGGAAGTTGTAAAGTGCTCGGGCTTTCAGCGCCATGGCTGTTTCCTGCAGGACTGCGCAACTCAGCCCTTGAGAACAGGCAGATAATCGCTCAGGTATTTAAACAGCTCCTGGCAGAGGAGGGCACCGCACACACTCTCTTTATGGCTTAAAACCTGGTCCCAAGCTGTGGGAAAGGGCCAAGTTGATTTAACCATGCAGTAAAAATATATAGTCTAAGATGTAACTTTCAAGGTCTAAAAATGCCAGTGAATCTTGAGGACTCAGTTCCTTGGTCCCAAATGACATTCCTGGGGTGCACAGACATGCTCTGCCCCTCCATTTAGGTGACATAAGCCTCCGTCAGACACATCCACATCCGCAAACCCCTCATGTCCACACAGCTTTGACTTTGGTGCCCGCGCCGTCCACCGTCTCGGCTTGAACTCACATAAACCAAAAAACCAAGGATCCTGATCAGCAGGAGGCCGGACGCCCCTCACCCACTGGAGCTTTCTTCTCAAGGGCTTTAAAAAGAAAAGCCCAGGGTCGGCCTGGCCGCCTTGCCCGCCGAGCTGCGTCTCCGGCGCGATGGCAAGTGGTGGCGCTGGCAAAAGCCCTGGAAGGAAGGAAAACAAAACACAACCTTCAGATGATCCCAGCCCAAACGTTTGGCAATCTCTCCGGAGCGGGGGGGAGGGAAGAAGGGGGAGCCACATCCCTCCGGCAGGGCGGAGGAAGGAAAAAAAGGAGCGCGGCCGGCCGGGCCCAGGGCAGCCCCGCACGGCACGCACTGCCCCGCGC